TCTCATCAAGACAAGTCAGATATCAAAAATTTATATAGTTTTTTCTTTTCAAAACTATATTTACAGATAACTATTTTGAGGACCTGAGTTCAATTCCAGGCCTTGACTACAAACTCTTGAAAAATCAAAAGTTTCCCAAATCTTTACCAATTAAGAAATCAATTACACAATTCAGGAGTTCTTTTCAATCTTAAGTGCTCCCAAGGAGAAAAATCCCAAATAAAACATAGTTTTTACAGCCAGTTTCCCTGCTGGTCAAGTTGTATTTGTCCGGACACTGTAACATCAATTCAACACTGCTCAAGCCAATTAAACACACGCAGGGCAAGGTTTTCTTTCATTTTTTCTGTAAGATTAGCTCCAAAACACAGTCAAAATCAGAATTGACTGGGGACAGCCAATAAGTTGGGGGAGGATGTGGTAAATAATACTGTGTTTCTACGCAGAAAAATATAAAAATTTATTATTATCTCTTTATATATTATATATATGGTAAAAATAACATCAGAAATGGATTTCTCAGGTAAAATAACCCCTAGTCACCCACTACAACTGACCCCATATCTCTCATAGTTTAGAAGTTACACAGATTTCAACCTGTCACGGGATATCTTTTGGATTCTTTACTCTCAGTATGGCTTGTTTTGAATACTGGATGCATATTGAATATTGAATTCCTTTGTGTTGTATTGAATTCCTTTATTGGCACATAGTGCATATTGAATTCCTTTGTAAGTGCACATGCATTCCTTTGTAGTAGGACCTTGTAGGCTAGCCAAATTCCCTCAAGGCAGTGCTCTCACCAGCCAAATTCCCTCACCTGCATGTACTAGACTAGCTAAAATCCCTCATTGGATCTTCAGGCCAGCTAAAATGCCTCAAAAGCCTGTACCCTGGGGCTAAAATCCCTCACATTTGTCTATATAAGGAGGCCTCTGCCTGCCAGTTGTTCCCTCCATCATCCCACCAGTGGACCAGATCATCTCAACCACCCTTACAGATTATATACAAGTGACAGCCATAACACTACATTATATTGAAATACAACCATAACAGTTTCATCATCATAACAAGTGCCAAGTGCCCATAACCTGCCTCACATACCATTACTGGTTGAAGCATAGCGCTCCCAGAGCTCCAAGCCTTGGTATTAAAGCTTTGAACAACAACTCCATCAATATAATCATCACTCATTTATAACTTCAGACCTTATACACATCACTCGGAAGCTTCATCTTGAACTATCCTCTATCACGATAAATATAACTGCCAAGCTAAGCTTGGTGGTCTTGTTGTTCTGATAGCATAGAAGGGCAGAGCTTGCAACTCCAACATACCCTTCTCCATTCAGCAAAAGGGTTTTCATAACCACTTTTGAGTCTTACAACGGACGTCTGTGGACTGTTGTTGGAAGTTGTTCACAAAAAAACAGGAGTCATTTTTCCAAGCTCCTTCTTTTAGTATTCAGAGAATTTTGTGCACTAGTTAATATTAAATTAAAGAGATCACATATCTGTGAAACCTCTCATATGCAAGTGAAATCTTTATTTATTTTAATATTATTATCTGTATCATTTGTTTGAAAACTGTTAGTGAAACCTTCAGGAAATGTCAACATGTCTCTAAGGTTGACATCTGTCATCTAATGATCACTTTTTTTTGCTGGTGATTGGACGTTTCCACCAAGGGCAGTGATCAAAGGTATGCACTTCCAACAATCTCAAGAAAGAATAAAAAAGAAATTTATTACCATCAGGTACAGGCTAGACTAAGCAATCATTACATATTTGCCACCTCAGGGGGGGTGTTTACCACCAAAGTTACAACCAGAAATTTCATGGGGGTTCCCAGAACATGGTTCAAGTCCAGCCCAAGAGAGGCTCTCTACATTGCATAATTTGCAGGTATGAATCCGAGTAGGTCGCTTGTAAGGACACAAGCTGTGACGGCCATATCTGCAAGTGATGGGCAGATTACATTCAAGATTCTTCACTTCTGTCTCCCACTTATGAGTGCATGAGGATGAAGCCCAGGAGCCATAAGCTGTGCCAAGGGTAAGGAAAACCAAGGTGAGTGTTGCAACAAACTTAAAGTGACACATTTGGGGTTGAGCTTGTAAGGGTAAGGAGATGATGGAAGTGATCGCCTTGAGGATTGAACTTGGGGTGTGACTGAGGGTGACTTGTTTCAAGTGCAGAGTTGAAGTTAAGCCGCTCCAATCCAAATGCGCCACAGGGGAGTGAATTCAAAAGCCACATGTGAGGCATATAAAGGTGACAGTTTGTCTGTTATCCCAATGCTGAGCCCACTTGAGATTGGTTTCCGTGGCTCAAAGCTTCAGGAAGACACCCACAAGCCTCACCAAGATATCTCTGAGCCATAAAATTCTCTTTTGTTAGCTTAGCATTACATCCTTTGACTCTCCTTCCAACTAATTCTTGCAAATTATGGCTATAGATACTACATGCAACACTTGTAAGTATCCCAAGTCTGACAACATGGGTTTGTATTTGAATTAAAAATTTTTGTGGGTTTTCAGCAGCTCTTGTTGCTTCTTCAAAGGGACTGACCTTTACTGCATTTTAAGCATGATGGTCAATGCTAAATATTTGAAAAATCAACTGGTTTTGTAGATGAATGAAAAAATGAGGAAATTGTGTTTTAGGCCTCAAAAAAGAGAACACTCACTGTTGTGTCTGGCAGTTGAAAATTGGAAATAATTGTTGAGCAACAAATTCTGGTCAGATGCATCAGGTTGTGTCGAAGTTTTTCATGCTTTGGATGATGAGAATGCAAGCTTGGTCAGTCTGGATTGGGGAAAATCAGGTGAAAATTTACAAAGTAGGGCATATCAAATATAGGCAAATCCACCATTATGTAATTGACTGTTTTTGAAAAAAAAACCACCATTTTCTCTAAACATGTTGGTTTCTTGTTTTCCCCCTTAAGATTGGTGGAAACAAATAATTTTCAATAATTTACTGGTTTATAATGGTGGATTTCTTATATTTGACACCCCCTAGTAAGGCCAATGGATGACTTCCCATCAACATCTGCGGGTCTCCCAGAGCCGGTTTAGAGCCTTTAAGTTCAAATTTCCCTACAAGAATCAAGAATTTTTGGGTCTAGATTGACTTCTGCAAGGGTCCCAGATCCAACGGGAAGTCCTCCAATGCAAGCATGAATTTAGAATTGGGTAGTTTTGTAATGAATTTTCTTTCATACAGGGCCTGCAGAGCTGATGGGAATTTCTATGATACAAATTCTCTCATCCTTAGACAAGCTGTAGGTTAACACAAGGTGGAACAGAAGAGTTGGAAAAGTTGTAGCAGATGTGAGGAAGTTGTGGATGAGGTGCAAGTTGATTGTTTGAGAGGTTGTATATTAAGAGTTAGTTTGTATAGTTAGTGGTCAAAGAGACTCAGAGTTCCCCCAATCCTCCTAGCCCCATCCGCAGCAGTTCCCTAGCCCATTCTTGTTGGCTGTCCCAGTGTATGCCAGTGCCCAGATTTTCTGTGTTTGGCCACCTCAGAACCTTGTGTACTCAATCCCCATTACCTTCAAGCTTCCTGAAAACTTAGAAAGCTTGACTTTCTACTCCGCATGCCTCAGCCTACATGCTTTGAATTTTTTTCAGCCACTGCCACACTTTCCTTAGCTACCAAATAGTTTGGCCAAAGCTTTGGCCCAGTTGTGCTCTCCTCACCACATTGTAGTTGCTATGTCATCCATTGGCAAGGCGCTTCTTGTTGTGTTGATAAACACACTCCTCTCTGGAAGGGATGGTAAGCAACACCTATGGTCCAAAAAATGTGCTAAGACTGGAGATCTACCACTCTTGTACCAACGGTGGGCCGCTACACTAACCGTAGCGGTTAGTGTAGCGTAACACAGCGGAATTCCTGTTAGCGTTAAGCGTAGCGTAGCGGAATTCCGCCACAACACCGCTAACGCTACGCGTGTGGGCCACAAAAAAGGGCCCACTACGCTGCGCTACAGCCACTTTTTCCGCTAAAAGCGCTGTAGCGCAGCGTAGCATAGCGAAAATGCGCTACAAAAGCGCTAACACTACAAAAATTTGGCACAAAAAAAGCACCGCTACGCTACACTTTTTGGGCCAAAAGTGTAGCGTAGCGTAGCGGCCCACCGCTGCTTGTACCTCTTGTGGATGTGTGAAACCACCCATCCTGCTTATAAAGCCCCAATCTCTGCAACCCTTTCACAAACCAATATCCCTCACTCATCCAATCCTCAGTGCAGGTTTACTACTTTGTGGTGGCACACCTGTCAGATCTCAGGTGGTAATTCTGGAACACAGGTGGCAAATCCAACATTTACCACCCACTTTGGAGTTGCTCTAAGGTATGCTCAATATACAATGTCAAAACTGAATGACTAGGTTAACCTCTTCAATCAGTTGATAAGGGTAGATGTCACCAGCTTGGAGGGTTTTTCACCATGGGATGCTAGATTTTCAAAGGGAAATCAAGCTTTCAAGGTTGCATGCCAGTGTCACAAATCCAATTTTTAGAAAAACAGTGGAGGACTTCCCGTCGGAATCTGCGGGTCCCCCAGAACCGATCTAGAGCCTCGAAAACCAAATTCCCCTGCGAGAATCTAGAGTTTTTGAGTCTAGATTGACTTCTGCGAGGGCTCCAGTTCGCACGGGAAGTCCTCCAGTATCCCCCAGGCCCCACCCATCAGACAGATTTTTGTTATCTGCTTGTGCTCATTCAAGCTCACCAGTCTCAATTCCAAAAATAAAATGCTTGGCAACTTGTGGGCTCAACACTATTTTTCCAGGGGGTTTTCTAAGGCCATGTCACCTAATTGTGCAATGTCCATCTCATCCATGCCTCAGGTGATTTCCAATCTGGAGAGGAACACTGTTTCTGCACGATGTTGTACTGTGGGGGTCAATATTGAGGAGAGACTCATTCGGTACAAACCGCTCTTGCAGACTTGACAGGCCAGTCTGCGACTGACCCAAGTCCATGGAAAACTGTGTTAAGTTTTCATCGACAGAGCGAATGAATCATTCAATTGCTCCAATACTCATGTTCTCGGTCTCAATCATATCAACAACACATGGATCATTTGATTTTTTTTAAAAAAAAGCATGTCTGAGTCCCAACAAATATTGATGGTACTGAGGAGCGGGCGTCAAGAGGAGGGCATGAAAGCCACTTCTCTGGGGGATTGATTGCTGCGATGAGCGACACGTGATGTGATGAATTACGACAAGGCCTCCTTCAATAATTATTCATCGGTTAGATTTGGCAACACGTTCCAACTCTACACATGTGCAAGAAATGAAATGAGAAACGAAATAATGAAAAATAGGAGTTCAGTGAATAATCAAGATCAGCGATGTCTGGGAGGGGGAAAAAAGGCAATGCTGACCGTCTTTTTTCTTGATGGCGTAAGAGTTGGACGAGCCCTTGGCGGCGTTGATCAACTCGTCGGCAAGACATTCGGAGATGGACTTGACGTTACGGAAGGCGGATTCACGAACCTAGATGAGGGAGACATACAAATCAAGGAACTGAGCTCCACAACACACCAAAGAGGGGAAGATGGGTGTAGGAAGCTTACGCCGATGGTCAAGAGGGCGATGGCTTGGTTGACTCGTCGTAAGGGCGAGACATCGACGGCCTGTCGACGGACAGTTCCTTGGGAACCGATCCGGGTGGAGTCTTCTCGGGGACCGGTGTTAACGATCGCATCGACCAAGATTTGGATGGGGTTTTGGTCGGTGAGCAGGTGGATGATCTCAAAGGCGTGGGCAACGATCCGGACGGCCATCTGCTTCTTTCCGTTGTTTCGTCCCTAGATTTTTTTTGGCATTCGCAACGACGTAGTAATTAATCATGATAGGTGAGCTCGATGGACGACTGCGTTTGGTCATGTTCTAGTAGGCGTTGGACGAGCTGGTAGTCACCTTCATCATCAAGCTGTTGACAAGTCGTTCGACGATTGGCATCTGAGCCTTTCGGAATTGTTTGGTGGCATATCGACCAGCGGTGTGAGGAACGTAGACAGGATTACGGATCTGGATGTAATCGGTCAAACAGCTGGAACAATTGACAAAGGACAACTTATGAACACTCTTTCATTTGATTATTATCATTATTTTTTGAACTGAAGCTCTTGTGATGAACGAACATGTCCTTGACTTCGACATCGGCCGAGTCCCAACGGCCAAAGAGGTTGATTCCGGATTCGTTGGCGGCAAGGACTTCGGTCGGGAGAACGGTGCAGTTAGCCATCTTGAGTCTTCGGGTGCACTTCCTTCACTGAAATCTTCTGTCAGCCTTGGAAAGTGCCTGCCGGGGGGGATGGCGGCCGCGAGTCAAGCCTGGCCGGGCTGAAGCTGAAACCTAACTGGGCGGGGGGTGTGGTGAGACTGACAATCAGCAACCGGGTAGACCCCTTGCCATGAGCAGACTGCTGCTGCGCTTCACTCCCCCGCCCCCGAGTCGCGCACTTTCTGTCGCGGAGGGTTAATCAGGACTGATGCACCAACCGACAATTCACCTGCTCCTTTGTGGACCTCAGGCATCATGATCCATAATCATCTTGAATTGAAATATCGATTTTCCTTCCTCGAGGCAATGGATCCATCTGAATACGTATCTGCTAGAATCCAAGGACCCTGTAACACCATGGTCAACCTTGACCTTGCTAGGTGTATCTAGCTCAGGAGGCTGATATTCTTCATAGTTCACTGCTAGCGAGGGAACTATGAAGCTGGAAGCAACCCAAGTGACAATTATTCAGTTTCCTCTTTTATCGGGACACCCTTCAGCCTGCGTCTGGTAAAATAACTAATGTGTCTTAGAAGGAATTTGGTAAGATGGGCTGGATGTTCCAACAAGCTACATATTAGTTAGGCTCTGCCTGTAATTAGTTTCGAAACTCTCGATAGGGTTAGGCTTTTCTTAAGTTTTAGTGACAAGCTAAGGTCTGCCCGATGAACTCCTTCAGCGATGTGTTCAACTATTTCGCAATCATCAACACGTGCAATTGCGTACCAGAAAAAAAATGAGAACCCCTGTCTCTACATCCGCCTTGAGAGGAGAACCCAGGTGAAGCACTAGTCATTCGGCAAAGCAGCGATAAAATCGGTCGACCAATAAGTACTTTTTTTACTGGGAAATCTGCACAGTTCTTTCTTCGGTGAAACTTGATGACAAGTCATTCGTGGCTGTAAATCGTTTGGATATAGTTCTTGGGTTTTTCTGGGAAGTAAAATCCAGCTGGCTTCAGCGTGGGTGCCACTAGTTTTGCGCCTATGTGTAACGAGCTCTGATAATAGGTTCTCTGACGTACCAACTGCCTACTATTAATCCTCATTTATAGGTATTCATTATTACTCAGAAATGATGTCAATGATTTTCAGTTCTGTCCGTCTGGAGAGAAAGCTCAACGAATCTGATGGTGCTTGTTATAACGAGAAACAAAGAGCCGAGGTCGACTTGTGTGCCGTGCTGGGCTTGCAACCCGTGCAATTGAGGAAAGGGACGCAAAGGATGTTCCTCATCCTCTATGAATCAATCGTGAGTGCAATCTTATCAGCTATGAGACAGTACGCACGTGCAATAAGCAGCTATTGAATGCATATTGCAACTGTTGATTACCATCCAGCAATTATAAAGAGTAATCAACGCTTCAAGGAAGAGAGTTAAAGCTGTCGTCTCGTCCGGATTGCTTGTTGAGAAATAAAGAAAGATTTTGCATAGCCTGAGTGTGATGTGAGACGGGAGAGCTTCGACAAAGGCGGGCAGTGAGCTGGTGAAATAATTCTGATTGCGCCCATAGTTTGATAGGGGTGCACAGAGAACTTGCTCATTAACTCACTGCTCATAATCCACACTCGGGCTATATCAAAACGCGAGATAATTTGAGACAGACATCAAGTTCTTCACCAGAAATTCAATTATTCCTGCTTTTCATGTTTTTGTTAAATGGGTCACCATCGGACTTACGTGTCCCCAGTAGGCTGGTGTCCACCTTCCTAGATGTGGTTTTAGTATAGTCAGTTTTTAGTAGGTATAAGCATTTCTAGACCGATTTAAAGAGTCTTGCTTAGCATGCATAGAGCTCAATAACAGGCAACGGCGGCGAGTTACGGAAAATTCTTTAGTTCAAGGCATATGAGACAGCTTACTGGGAGCTCTTGTTTTCTTTAGAGCGACGGTTCATTTTTGACCCCTAACCAAAACAGGTAACGATCAGTGAATAGAGGTTCGCTGAAGGACTCGCTCGACAGCAAGTTACTGAGGATTTTGCGACTCACACCTACGACAAAGGCGGCGAGCATTCTGATTGAGAGAGCACTTGCAGCATAGTTCTCGACGCGTAGCGTTCGTGTAGTTCAACCCAAAAGCACCCCGTGTTGAGCGTTGGGTAGTACTTGGTTCTGCAAAATTATCAAAGGGAAGCTGCTGCCGGTAACTTGCATGTCAATGCTGCGATGAGCGTGATGTGGTGCTGAGCGTCTTAATATTTAAAGGTATCTCATCCCGCTCTCCTTGTTCCTTCCCCAGTGCTCACTGGCTGTCACTCCCATTCCCTTCCCCCACTTCCAGTGTTCATCCGCTGCCAAGGACTAGACAAGGGCAAGTAAAAAACCGGAGCTTACTACTTACTTCCCTTTTCCCACTTGGAATTCGGCGCGGTTGAATCATTATACCAAGTACTCTGCGGCACTTCTATCGATAGCCTCGCTCATAATAAGTGCTGGCCCACAATGGCTCCCAATCCTAAGTATGCTCACTTCATCTTCATCACTGCCATGATCAACAAGGGTGCCTTTTTTTTGTTCAAATAAAAAACTAACATGCCTTCTTTCTTTTCATAACAGCCATCCTCCAGCTCGGGGAGCCCCCCTTCCGAGCCGCTCCGTTTCGGGCCCACTTCCGCAAAGCCTGCCACCACGAGGCTCAGCTCCTGAAGTACCTGCCCGCCGCAGAGTCGTTTCAACAGTTGCTCGAAGTAACGCTATCCGGCGGGCGGCTGGCCCAGATGGCCCGACTCTGGAACTCAAGGACATTGAAATTAATGGAGACCTAGTCACCCGTGCCCTTGGACTTAGCCCCACTCCTCCTCCAACCCCAAGGATTGCCGACCAAGTTCCTCCAATGAGGCCATCAAACATCGACTACAATACCCTCCCTCTACCTCGTATTCCCCAAGCTTCCTCATCCAGCCGCCGCCATGGAATGCTATTCCTTGCCCCTAGCTTCCCACTACCTCCTCTTCCTCAAGCTTCATCAAGCAGCCGTCGTAATGGAATGCTTATCCTTGCCCCTGATGACCTTCCGGATGAGCTACGCAACATTAAACTAGATGATGAAATGACCGAGGACGACCCAACTTGAATTCTTTTAACTGTGATTATTGTCAGTTTCTCCCCCTTTTCCCTCTCCCTTTGATAATATACTTTCTTCCTTGAATTTCGGATGAGTTTCCTCAACTCGGAAAGCTGACAGATGTGCCCTTCTACTTTTTCTTACTCAGAATTGCTTTTATTCTTATTTCTTTCTTCCTGTTCTTATATTTCTCTGTATCTACTAGTGACTGAGTGTACAAACTCAAAAAAAAAACACCTTAAATGCCTAGTTTCAAAGGCTTTTTTGTTCAAATTGCATATCCTAATAAGTTACCTTACCTCTTTGTATGTATTGTATTCCCAGCACAGCATTGTGTTTTGGATTTCTTGTATTATTACCATGCAATTGCTATAAATTTTTTCAGTCTTACAAACTACCAAAACACCAAAAACAGTAAACCTGAGTTCCTGATCATCATGTGAGGCATTTGTATAGCTGCAGCCTCTCTAAATGATTACTCACATTCCCAGACTTGGGATGATCTCAATCCTTGGTATACCATTTTCATCATGACTAACATTTGTATTCTGAAGAGAGCCAAGGTGAACTAAAGAACTAAGATTTGAAAGCAACTATTATTCCATTATAATCAACAGAAAACTACTATTCTCGAGCTTTGATTCTCGTGCGCTTCGTCATTGTCTTTGGATTAAATGGGTAGCCTATTCTCTTTTTTTGCTGGTCCCATGAGACAAACTATTTCGGTCATTGAAGTTATCAAAGACAAATTGGAAGACGTGGTATGAAAAATAATTGAGCAAAAAAAAGACCAGTCAGCTTACAAATTCTGTGTGCCTTATTGATAAAAAATTGAGGGATCCTATGGACCTACGGAATCAAACTTTACCTCACCTTTTGGTTATCCGTAAATTGAAGAAAAAGAAACCCCCAATCTCAGTATCTTCCTGTGACCGGTCATTTGACTTACATTTTCTCTTGTAGGGAATGACTAAAATGATAGCTTGGACAGACGGGTCCGATAGGACCTCGAGCCTGCCTCACCCGGCAATTCTCGGACATGGCCGGCTGACGAGAGATCGGACAGATTAGTCCGATTATCATTTCATGTCGCACGACTATTCCCGAGAACAGCTCGGTCAGGCAAGCCCGAGGTCTCATCAAACCTGTCTGTACGAACGATTAATTCGGTCAATGAGCTATTGCCATTGGCATGAATGAAGATTGTAAAGTCTGTTTTGTGCATTTATAATGGACAAATGATGGAGTCGATTAAGAATCAAGATGGCGATGCGTATCCAGTAATAATATGAGTCGGAAACCGCTCTTAACAAAGCCTCTTTTATTTCCATACCACTTCTACCTTTTGGCATGAATAAAAATATAACAAAAGTCAAAAACCATGCCATCATCAAGGAATTCTTGGAGAATCTCAATCACAAAGAAGCTCGGCAGCAAATTCTAGAATACAGCGGACGCGAGTTCATAGATCTAAGAATTTTCAATATTTTTCTGAGAGGTACATGTCATTGGAATCAATCCCCATTTAGAGCAAACCGTAATCGGTCCTCTAATAAACTCGAGTCTGAGAAGTAAAGAGGAATCATGTGGGTGGAAGGAGACAGAACAGCTGTGTGCGCGTATCCTGTCCCCATGTTTAGGCCCTTACAATCGCAAAAATAAGGTCAAAATTAATCATGTTCGCGCTTTTCACCAATTTGTGGCATGGGATAAATGGTATGTCGGAAAACGGACAAGGGAGGAGATGGACGAAGACCATGGCACGCGGGGCGGGAAGAGGAGGAGTCGGCTCAACATGATGGACCAAGCCGGCCGATGCCAGGTCGGACAGAGCACCGGAAAAATCCCTATCAGAAAAAAACTCTAGTGGGCGATAATGTTGTCCCTTTCTCAACGTGTACAACAGAACCTTTCCTTCAAGTTGCGTGGGAGAAATCATATGTCCGCAGGCGGGCAAGGGAGGAGATGGACATAGAGAGAGAGCCGCAAGAAGAAGAAAAAAAGGTAGCATTTCATATTTGGGGGGCCGGAAGCAGTCATACATGATGAGGTGAAGAGAGGAAGAATGACTGATGAAAAGCTTTTTGAGATCTGGGAGGTGATGATCGGGTTCTCCCCATCTGTAAACGGGATGTCATCCATCTCATCATGATGAATAGAACCCTGAACAAGGTCAAGACGCGACCCCACCAAAAAACACCAAATATGTGAAGAAGGATGAAGAAATTCCACGGACGGAAGGACATCCCCCAATCTTAACCAAGGGAAGAGATGGAACAAAGGCAAACTCATCCCAAGCAACACAAATGTATACATAGGCTGGTCACAAAAGGAAGACAAGCACTCGAGCTGTCTAAAAAAACGAAAACAAGAAGCAAGACCCAGCTGGCCACAAAATAGATTGACTGTTAAACGTCGTAATTGGAAGGACCCCGTAGCGTTCTGAAGGAAATCACACAGAAGCAGGCAGAGCTTTTGTGGAGATCTTTCTTCCGCCGGTTCGTGGACATTAATGTGTCTTTTGGGATTGTAAGGACCCAAACAAATATCGGGAACACCAAGAACAAGGTGAGCAGAACCAGAGCTTGCAGGGTGAGTTGCGCATGACTTGCGAGAAGAAGGAAAAATGAGTTTGAACGGAATGGTGATGGTGAGAGATGAGTTGTTGTTTTCTGAGAGATCGAGATAGGTAGCTAGGCAAAGAGGGAAGTGGCAGATAAGTTTGGACCAAAGGATGATTAGAAACAGATCAGTGGCCATGTCGAAAGAAATTGCACGCATAGGTTCAAGGACAGGAGCTGCAGAGCAATGTTCTGCTTATATCTAAATCCTTTTTTTCCCAAACAGATTCTGCTTGCTCATTTCCGGGGAATAGCAATCGCCTTTTTTTCAAAGAAAGGAATCCATCCTAGGGGGGCATTATAGGGTATCCATCATCGTCATCCAAATATATTCAAATGGAACGTACAAATCCATCGATTTGATCAATGACTTGGGGACCTTTCCGTTTATTTCTTTTTGGTATGTAGATCGATCTGGAGCTCCTAGAATGCATAGCTGGCTGAGTCGCTCCTACAAATATAAAAAGACAGCTAGCGGTTCCTGCGCTTGCGCTGTCGCGACTTCCCCGGTCGACTTGGGAGGGTTAAGTTAAGCAATGCTCCGACGGATAGATTTTATCACACATTTTAACTTCCAAAAGCTGGCGGATTCTTGGGTGGAACTTTAAGATCCAGTCATTTCATGAGTCTCTTTTTGCCAATGAATAACTCACAGTAACATTGTGCAAGTTCTTCCTTAAGTAAGTTTGTATAACATGTGCAAGTCAGTCCTAAAGAGTGTTACCACATAGTAAGTCAAGATAGACAAAAGGTCCAAAGCACAGTGGGTTACTCATGATTGTGCCAGTGGGCACATTGTTTTTCCTTCCAAAATTTCAACCTACGATGTTCAAGTAGCCTACCAGACGGATGCCTGACTTCATACCTGTTTCAAAACACCCAGCAGTTGCTTTTTTTTTGCCAAATTTTTGTTTGTGATCATTCTTCTCAGAGCCCACAGTTGAGATTCCAAAAAAAAAAAAAAATGTGAATGCTTAATAAATTTTACCAAACAGTTTACCATATTTTGGTGTTTTCACAATCATTATCTTTTTCATCACTGCATTCCCATCACTATGATTTTGTTTGTTGAACTGGTGCATGAATTCAAAACAATGTGCTGAAATAATCAGATCACCCACTGTACAGGTCCCATCATGGGTTATGTTTTTTAGATCTCTGTTTTCTTCTGTGAACAAAAGAGGGAGAAGTTACATAGATTGTAAGATACACAAGGATAATAGTTGGGCTATGTATAGAAAAACCCCAGTGATATCAAGATATAAAGCTATCTAAAAAGAATAAGAAAAGTTATAAAGAGAACATAAGGATAATATAATGCACGACCATCTTGAGTATGTAGTGAGAAAAAGAAGACCAATTATCGATTGGATATCATGCACACACGCACAAACAAGTGAAACAAACAACGACAACACAAAACATTGAAAAAAAGAATACCACAAATGCTATCATTTTGGGGATATTTGGTGTAGGACAATATGATAAAGAAGGTATTTAAGAAAAAGATGGGTTTTGTTTGTTTGAGGGAAGGGAAGGTGGTTGATTGATTCAAGAAGATTTGACGTCTTCGGCCATATCGTTCTGCTGGTGATGATGGAGACGTTTCTCATTGGCATGATTGACCAACTCTTTGATCACTTGACTATGCTAAAAAGACACATTCAATAACCATAAAAAAGAGGGGACGAGGGGGTTCAGTAAGAGGGTTGACAGAGGCTTGTGTAAGTAGATGATAGGAATAAGAATGGAATATATGTGCAGACCTTGACTTTATGGACAAAGGAGGTCTGCACATTGTACATCAAGCGAAGCACGAAGATCGTCATGAACAATCCGACGACAACCCAGAACGCAGCGGCGACCAAGAAAGCCAAGGAGATCATCAAGGCGAAGACTGTTTCCAACCAAAGGTTCAAATCTATCAGTCAAACAAACTCCCCCTCCAAAAAAAGGGGGGGAGGGGAAATAAGAGGGGAAGAGAAAGGGAATGAGACTTAACAGGCACAGCCAATGATCACACTTCCCCATGTCAACACAAACGTTATCCCGATCCCCACTAAGATCGAACTCACGCATAAGCTGAAGCCGATGAACGCGATGATCGGAATCACACTCATCCCCGCTAGTACCATCATATATGACTTCACACCAAAAATGTCACATTCATGCATTCGTTTTTCGGTTTTTGGGTGGGTCCCAAAAACAACAATCCGAAGAAACATGTCCAATTAGCTTCTATTTTCATTGAGTTTTTCTTTTGCATAAATAAATTCGGTGGCTCCTTTGATGACTTGAGCGGCTTATAGCGATGAGTATCGCGCAAAGGACCTCATATTCTCTTCACTCGAATCATCTTTCCAGGGGGGGGGGGATAATTAAAACAGAGATGAAGCAGAAGAAACAAACAGACGGAGAACATATACGTCTCCGGAAAACGAATCTCTCCCTGTCAACAAGTGTTGGTCTGCCGGTCTCATGAACGCCGCGAAAATAACGAGAAGAGAAGAGAGAGAGCGAAAGGAAAAATGAAAGATAAGAGAGAGCCGAGAGACGAGAGAGGGGGAATCGCACATACGGTAGTAGTGGGGTAATTCTTAAACGCATCCTTGAGGATCGCTTCGAGCGGGATGAGGACATGAACGCGAGCCCTACGAAAACCGCCAGCAAAAATACCCCGGAAGCGAGTGAGTTACAACTGAGGTTTTTCTTGATGAACCAAAACAAGGACTGACGTGTTTTTTGCAACCATCAGACGCTCCCATGCGTCCCCTAATCTGAACGGTTGGTGGAGCTCTTTCTTGCCTGACGGCTCGTATGCTGATCCGGTATGTTGTCGATAAGTCGGTTGAGTCATCTTGTCCAGCTGGTTGTTATTGTTGTGGTTGTGGTTGTGTGGTTGGTGTGCAGATGGTGAGTGTCCTGCAGGTCGCGTACTCCCCCCTGCTGGGAGATAGAGAGCTGTCCAACCACTCTGGCACCCAAACACTCCTCAAACTCTCTTCAAGCTTTCTCCATCACAGAATCCTTCTCTCACCCAAATCTTCATCCTCTGAATCATCCATTCATCTACATCCTTCATTTCAGATTGGTAGGACCTGAAAATCTTCACCAATCAGCCGCACTTGCTCTCACTTGCAAGCTGGAACTCATCGATTCATGAAAACAACTGGGAAATCACAAGGCCGGGAAGGAACCGAGCTTATACTTGCCGGCCAGTATATCGAGCTAACTCTATACATACAGAAATAGATGCACTATCTCAAAAGTGTAACACTTGTCTGTCTATCTGTTTGTGTGGATCAGTAAAAAAGAAGTGTGTTTTCATTTCTTCCCAGAAACGATGATTGGCTGGCCGAAATCATTTGTTTTTTCTTGTCTATCCAGCCGCACTAAATCTGGCCAAGCACTTCAACAATATCAGAATGTTCTGATCACCATCCTAAACAGAAAACAAATCATCATTCAAATCTTCACAGAAGATTCAACTACTAAAAAGCCCTAGCTTAACAAAGTGTAACAGACAAGCACAGCACTCAGCAAAACTCAAGGAACTTTTATGAAAAATGATTTTAGTTGAAGACTCAATCAAAGGTTTGATCAAGATCTCAGAAGGAAAGGTTTTAAGGATTCCAGACTTCTGAGAAAGGAAATTCAGAATTAACACTTTATTTCTCTTTTGAGAAGAATGTCTTTTCAGAAGTAAAAGAAAGGTTTGAAGATTTTACAAAAAAACAAACTTAAAACTTCATTTGAAATGATATTTGTATTGTTGTTTGAATAAAGCTTGGACAAACCAAAGCTTTCCAAGCACTAAAGTTATGGTTTTGTGCTGCTGTGCACCAGTTTAAGCTGGTGATTTTTGCCACACAGCCCTGTTTGCTCATTTGCCCTGCTG